AAAAAAAAAAAAAAAATTCGAATCAAACTTAACCTGGAAGTATCAACATTCCAATTTCAATACACTTTGCATACACCCCATAAAGACGGGGAAGACAAACAAGAAGGAACGAAGGCGTCGATGCTCATCGAATTAATCTTCACTCCTCCCCCTCCCCCTCCGAAAAACAAGTTCCCAGAGTTCATTGAAAGTCCAGAACGGGTGCTGGCATAAAATTCAATTTATTCCCCCTTGTTTGTTCTCACCGTTGGGGGAGATCGACGTCGATAACAGATTCTTATGGCGTAAGCCATGATTCCATAACAATATGGAAGAGGACTTGGGACCGTTACCTCGGTTGTCGTCCCTCTCGAGCGCTTCCCTTTTCCGGAACCGTAGTTCACGTTAAAACGCTTCTGGGAACGCGGAAACCCAAGTTGTTGCGTAATCGAAGAATTCACGCTGCATCGTGTTGCATATTAGGGTTTTTTAACATCAGAAATCTCGAAAATGAAATCTTCAAATAAGTATATCGAATGAGGTAAAAATGTGTTCAACGAAATTTGTTGATATCCTTTATTTCTGATTAATCATTTATTTGTTGTTCTTTCGTTCAAGTTAAATTTTTTAATTTTAGGTGAAATTTCTAATTATTAAATAATAATTTAATATAATAGAAATAAAAAAATTTATTAATTTAAATATTAAATAATTAAATAATTAAATTTGCAATAATCATTTGCTCAGAAAGATGTTAAATTGATTAGAGTGTAATCAATAGTGTAAATTTAATTATAAATTGTGTTTATATTTTAAGTGGATTATAAATATTTTGGAGAGTATATTAGACATTTAAAAAGACAATTGAATGTCCTAGAATGTTTTCGAATATTCATGAAAAGAAACAAAAATTGAAATAGCCATATCGTTTAAGGAGAAAAAATGTATTTTTAATCTTCTTTAATGATGACTACTTATTCATAGATCCAATGTAGTTATTCAATCTTATATATCCACTGTTTTAATTTCAAACATGCATGCAAAAGTAGTTTTAATGTAAAAAGATTTTAGTGGGAGCAGCACTTATAAAGATATATAAAGATGATAAGAAAAAGAACAATCTTTGATAATACTTCAAGCACATTTATTTTTATACATTCTAATTTTTATATATATTGAAATTAATTTAATTTTATTAGTTTATTGATTTAAATTGCACAATTCACTCTGTATATGAACTTTCCTTGTGTATGAACAGTTTATGTTCATATTCAATTTCAAAAATTTCTCATTCTAAAGTGCAATATCCCTTGTTAAAAATATTTTTCCAAAAAATTGCTCGAAACATTGACGACACGTATTTTAAATCCATTCCATTGCGATATTCTTCAATCTTAATAATAAATAAAAATCTTAATAATAAATATAAATATTTAGAAGAAGAGGCACACACAACTAAGTTTCGTATAAGTGGCAACAATGTAATTAATTATCGGCTATCTGGTGGAATTAATCTAGTTCGGCCTGTGGTTGCCCACACTACCACCAGGTAGTAATAATAATCTCTCTGGTATTCGTTCATTTATCACGGGGCTACAATAAGGAGATAAGAACGCGTGCATTGTGCTGCTGCGTCCGTGATAAGTGTTGAATATTAACAATGCAACTATCTCGACCTTTGCCAGCCATTATACCGTTCATTAGCGGTAATGGGGATTGTATATTCAATTATCAATTGTTTTCTGAAATTAATTTCGTGTTCCTGGATTAGGCCTGAATTCAAGGAGAATTGCAAGGAACGGAGGAGTTACACAGTTATCGACTTACCAAACTTGTTATCCACGTCAAATTTTTTCTTTTATCGTGGCAGATTTAACACCAATTCGTTCTTGATTTATGCCAGCTCTAATTAATTTCTCTAAATATCTTCTTTTATATCTTTTTATAAATTCTCGGAAAATTAATAAAAGGAAATTAATTAAACTTCTTAGAATAATATATGGGTTTTACACTCGGGTTAAAAATGATTATGATAAATGATTTTTAAGAAATTTTTTTTCGTTTGATTAAATCTTCAATGAATATTCTCACACGTGCGATATGTAAGTATTCTAGGTTCTTATAATTCTTGCAACAGCCGTGAGAACGAAGAAAAAAAGAAATCCTTCAACTTTGAATTTTAACACGTGTGTATTATTTTTTTTTAATGAAACTTTTATATGAGATATTCAGTATGAGAAATATAACTAAGTGAATCTAATAATTACTACGATAAACGATAGAATAAACGACGACGGTTGTGTGAACGAAGAAACAAGTTCATTGATCCACAATTTTAACATGTTAACCGATTATCTTCATTTTCTATTGAAATCTAACGAATAAATTTTTGTAAAACAAGCAACAGGCATCTGAAAAACCACTTATCTTCAAGCATTGTTTGTATAACCAATTTTGATGAAATTTTTAAATATTTTAACAAATTGTAATTTTTTTACATTAATCTATTTATAAAAAAGAAAAAGTCCAATTTTAAAAAATTATTCCAAAGAATATACCAATACTCCTTTGATTCTCTGACTAATAGCGTCCTATTACAATATACTCGTCGAAAAATAAGATTTATAAACCCCATCACATCATATTGAAATTAATTTAATTTTATTTAGTTTAGTATTGATTTAAATTGCACAATCCACTCTGTATATAAACTTTCCTTGTGTATGAACAGTTTATATCCATATTCAATTTCAAAAATTTCTTATTTTAAAGTGCAATATCCCTTGTTAAAAATATTTTTCCAAAAAATTGCTCGAAACGTTTGACGACACATATTTTAAACCTATTCCACTGCGATATTCTTCAATCTCAATAATAAATATTTAGAAGAAGAGGAACACACAAGTAAGTTTCGTATAAGTCCACTACCTGTCTCGAAATTAATTTCGTTTACCTTCGCCTCTCCTCTCCATCCCCATCCACATCCTCGATCCTGTTTTCAGATAAGGTCTTCCACGTCACTTGGATATACATAATAACGTTTCCCCTGGTAAACAGACTCGTGAAAGGAGCGCTCTGTTGCAGGGTCGCGGAGACGTCGCATCGTTGGTCCGGAACTTGCTTGGCCCGATTTACGGCGATGGCGTTATCAATCTGTTGATAAGGCAGGCCCGGGACATCCTGGTGTGCGCTTATCACGGCAACTTGGAGAACTTCCTCAAAACTTATCTGTCACCGGCCGCGACCCTTTTGGCGGAAGTGAAGTCGGCGGCCGCCTCTGAGATGGTGAGTGCACAACAATAACTCCTTCGATGGATATAAAGATACATCTGTCCATTCTTATCGATTAATTTCTTTGGAAATGGAACTACTTCTTTTGAAGGTTTTTCAGGTATAATTTCAAGATACGTAAAATACGCGAGAATGCTTTTCTCTCTTGCTTTCAAATAGTATTTGAGGATAATTGAGCGTTTTAGTTCTGATTGAAATTCTGATTATATTTAAAATTAATGATATATAATAATTCGACAAGTTAGAAATCAAAGTTATAAAATTCTAAAAAATAATAGTAAAATAAAAGTTGCAGAATTCTCTTTTAATAATTACGATTTAATAATTCGAACAAGGTGATCAGATTTAAATTTTTGAAATTAAATTATTAAACTTGGTAAAGGTTCATTGATAACTTTATTTCTTCAAAAATTTTGGGTATGGATTTAGGGGTTAATCGTTTCTTCCTTGAATCTGGATCTGGTCGTGCGGATGGAGCAGGAAAGGTGAGAGAGCTCTGCGGACGGATTGTTCCGCGAAACGATTAAAGTAATCAGTCTGATGGCTGACGAGAGTCCAAGTATGGCTGGACTGGATCCAGTTTCGCGGCCAATTGCGAAATCCCACTTGCGGATGACAGGAGCTTCTATTTATATAACCGATGACCGATTTAATTGGCGATGAAAGCGTAGATAAAAGAGGAAATTGTCTTTTTGTTTCGGATTCGTTGAAGAACCATATGGAAATGGGGTAGCTTATATTTGGAATCCTCCATTTTTGGAACGTTTCTATGGCTTTTTGTTGCTTTCATTTATTGAGGTGAATGATACCTCTTTGGAATCTTTAGAATCAATGTTTTGGGTTAAAAAATGGAGCTTGAGCTTAATACGTATAACTGTTCAATTATAAAATAATAGTCTATAATCTAACCTTTACTAAAAAGTTATACAGAATCAGAAATTCCAAAGTTTTTCTTTTATTAAAAGAATTCCATGTTTGTTACCAGTTGCAGCTTGTAGATTTTGTATATACAATTTTCTGTTTCCTTAAACAGGATTTAATTCTATTCATAGAAGAATATAATTTTTCAAACAAAATTTGTATATAAAAAATTAAAAGCTTAAATAAGATTACTTTGTTCCTCGAGCAAAATAATATATTTTCTTCTAATTTTTCCTATATTTGAAAATCCGAATAGAAATATTTTAATTTATTATTGCAGTATCGAACTATTAATCTGTTATTCATAAAACTAATAATTACTCAACCATCTTAAACTTCAATATCCCGCAAATCTTGCAATATTTGCAACGTTACAGATAGAGATATGCTCGAGACATTCAAACAAGGAGACAATCGAGAGAGAATTGTCCCAGAGAGGAGGTAAGGATTTTCATAGGGAAGAAAGGGAACCCTTGTCGGTCGATCATCCCTAATAACCCCTGTAGTTGCGGGTAACCTGTCTTCGATCTCGAGGGTCAAAGGGCACGTGTCCTCTTCAGGGTTAATTTATTTACGTCGAGAGCCAGGCCACGCCAGTCGCACGAGGTGTTTCGAGAGGGTGTTGGCAGAGGCCTCGAAATCGTGCTCCTAAACGTTAATTAAAACTCGACTCTGGAAAGGGGGAGAGAACGTGACGAAATAACCTAATCTCGCGACACCATGCCTCTTTCACCCGCGCTGAGGGGAAGGTCGAGGTGATGAATAAAGTTTCGAAGATTTGGTAATTGCTGCTGTTGTGAGTGCAAAGCAGTGTTTCTCAATCATTTTTTGGCATGGAAATTTTTATTTTTATTTAAAACGATAATTGTTAATTTGTTGTATATTTAGGTAAAGAGGGAAAAGAGTATTCAAGAATATTATTAAATATTTATAATTTTAAATAATAATATTGATCGAGTTATCCATTAACAAATTTCTTAATATTATTTATAAACTTATAGAATTTTAATATAATTGATGAACTCGACATATTTTCGTGACGTATAGAAAAAATTAGATTAGAAGAACATATAATACAATAATAATAATAATTTTTAAATTGGACTTTGATATATAGTTTTTAAAAAATTGTGTTCTAAAAATTTCTTTACGCATATATATAAATATATGCATAGAAATATAAAGATTTTTTTCTATTTTCACTATTATATCTATACACTTGTATATGCATAATCAAATTATACAAAAGCTTAAAATCCAACATACAAAAAGACATACAATCAGCATGATACTTTCATTAAATCATTCCTTCTTGTTTCTTTTTCAAATTCAAATTTTACGATTTATAATTCATGCAGAGTTCGACAATTTTGTGTATTCTGTCCTCACAAACAATCTTAATTATTACTGTATTAATATAAACCACAAGTAAATTAATCATAAAAATTATCGTACATATTTAACATTAGTTCATTACATCAAATTTATTATCCAATATCACATCCATTTCTTCAATTTACGAATAAAATTCTTTTACTTCTAACTAAGTGCACGAGATAAATAAACAAATTTTGAAACTTAGAAAAATTTCAAATTCTAATTTACAAAAATCATCTACAGGATGAGTAGAGAATCCACAACTCGAATTCAAAAATACGATAACATATAACTTCTCATCCCTTAAGAGAAAATTTTGAAAATTAATAAAATTCCTTCTAAGCGAACGGAATGGAAATCGCACAATAGGCGCTCGATAAATTCTAAAGAGAAGAGCAATAAAGAAAAGGACGCGGTGGCTCACGACAATTTGGCAGATATGGGGCAGCGATGTCCACGGTGGAAAGCGGAGCGGAGCGCTGTGCCTGTTGCTCGCTCGTTAGCGCAGAATTTCTGAAAGTAGGCAGGCAGAGAGGCTAACCGGCGCGCTCTACCTAATATAGGCGAGCTAAGGCCTTTGTCCGGCTAGCGATCACATCCGGTATAACTGTCGATCTGGAAATTTGTCCGCCGTCCACCGATTCCTCTAAGTAGATTCGGGGCTTCCTCGTTGCCGCCATTTTCGTCCTCTCGCCTTTTAAGATTCGAGCTTTCGTTCGAATTTTAATAACTTTTTGTTGTTAAAGGCTTAGGATCTTTTCATTGAGTTTTTGACTGCCTTGCGAGATTAGATTAAACCTTGGCTTTTCATTGGGAAATGTTAGGATAAATATGTTGAAATAAAATGAAAAGGTAAAATAAATAGTTTTTGATGAGAGAAATTGCAACATATATAATTATATTGGACAATATTGTATTTGATGAAGAAAATTTAGGTTTATTTTTATCTTATTATTTTACTTTAAGTTTGTAGTATTTAT